TCCCAGATTGATATCCATTCAGGCCAACTAAGCCTTCCATCCCTCCGGAGGGAGCCGGTTGATTGTACCAGATCGCCTGGGAGGATAAAAGCACTGACTTGTTCATCTGCTGACCACCGCAAGTCATTATGTAGGTCACATACGCATTCAATACGCCACTACGATTCTAACTGGAAGTCGGGGGCGCATCTCTTAGTCGGGATTGATCAACGCCTAAAGACTTCATCGTTGATATTATATTTCTACCATATGCCAGGGGACTTCTCATGGTGCTTCCGTGATCTTTTGCATCTCGATCCGTTTACCGCACAACGGCAATAACCTCATTAACTGGTACATGACGAGCTTGGAAGGATGAAAGCAGTGATTCGTACATTGCATGGCCTTGCTACCTGATGGATAAACCGTAGCTGCAATCATAGTCCGCCACTGTATAAGTGGGCCTAGCCCAAGTAGAATTGTTCAGAAAATCTATCCTTCTGACTTTATATGACTATGGCGAGCTCTTATTTTGAACAAACATTTTAAAATGTGGATCCTGCTTTTGAGAAATCAATTCCGATAAACAAAAACAAAAACTAACAACAAGGCAGCACAGATAAGAAATTTTCGTAGAAATGGTCCCATTGCAACGATCTGTGAAAAGCTGTTCATTTGAGAGCTGAACACTGGACCTCTGTATAGGACGTTGTCGATCAAGTCGTCTATATTAACCAGCTCATCTGAAAATCAAAGACGATATATAGATTTGAACGATCTTGTACAGTGTATTGTCTTGGACAGGTATCACGTCTTTCGGAGTTTTGACAGGGATTAGGAAGAGGAGCCAACGAAGAAAGAGGAGAGGCGCGAGAAGAAATCAGAGGCTTGGCTCGTGGTACCAGGAAATTTCGAACCAAGCCATACTGAACTAGTCGTATAGACGGGTTTAAGAGGGGGGGAGGGGGTGTTTCATGGCCCTTTATCTTCCTTGCAGGTAAAAAAAAACTTCTGAGGACACGAAGCATCCAATAGGAAAGGGCGCAGTCAAAAGATTGCACCATGTACTTCTTGATGCTTACCATTTGGAACCCATTTTGACAATTGCTCATTGAGAACGACAGCTTCCGCTTTATAAAGTGTATTCATAATGCTGGGTGGAGCAAACCTGAAACGGGAAGGTAGAGGCAAACTGCAGGCTGCATAGGTGATTAACTGTGGTTTCCGGTGGTAATCCATATGAAGGCCTACTATAAGGCTGAAAAAACCTGTGAAGAAGTCCAATTTACAAATTCCTACCAGATATGTACAGAGCAAGTGATCAGAAACGCAACGGCGATCATAGCATGTGTCCAAAATAGCGAATGTGAGACAAGCCTGACAAACATAACCAACCACAAATTGGAAATCACTCCCTAAACAAGTGTATGAACAATGTCCAAAACCCTCCTGAAATGAAAAGTAACCACGAACTGAAGTTTAGTTTCGTTTTTTTGCAGAGAAAATTGATTTGCGAATGGAGTAAGGAACTTAAATTCTCTGAAGTGTTCTCTGATTTAGAAGTTAAAGTTTTAAAGTTTTCAGTTATTGGACTCGTTAATTTTTTTTGTCGTGAATATCGAGCAGTAACTTACGGTACAGAACATTATTGATAAGCCATATACTCTAAGATGTTGCGGAAGGCTCTCCATACAATGCATCATTGTCGGGACACGAATCATCTGCAGATGAGGAATAGGAACATGTTTATAGAAGTACTACCCTTTTCTGATTATTAAATGAGAAAAGCTACCAAATATTGGGGTCCAACGATCTTAGTGGTCATTTGTACGCGACGACACACACATTTGGACAGCTCGTCCAAAGACTCCTTCCATGTAACTTTTGTCTTCACAATCTTGCCCAACCCCTTATTCTACGACTTTTTTGAAAATTTTATATACCTCAAACTTATCGATAATTGTGCCTTTGATTGATTCTTTCTTTGTAATGCAGCACTGCATTCGACTTATATTCAGAATCACAGTGACTTTTTGAATATGAACTGAACAACGACTTGTCCCGATGTATAAGTCAGTGCCCTTATACTCCCACACCAATCTAGTACATGCACGAGTCAGTGCTCTTACTTTACCAGGCCAATCCAGTATCAGTAAAAGAGCTCCGAATGGGTGAAATTTTTCGATGGCATGAACAGGCATCGGTCCGAGATTCGATCCCCAGACCATTGGCGTGGTAGTGTGCTACCAGGCACGTTGGTACAAGATTGCAGTCCTGATCACATGGGAGCTCTCACTCATGTGATACGCCTGATTCGTGAGATATGGCAACGTTCTTATCAATCGCCTATTCTCACGATCCACTTTGATTGAAGCCACGTTCCACTCTGATTGAAGCCTTGAAGAGGATTAGAATACTGTAGCGGTCAGCTGCTTCACAGATCACAGACGTTTCACAAATCTATGTGAAGGGGAAAAGTTCAGACAGAAGCAACACTCACCCTGATAGAAGCTCCAGAAAGAAATAGAGATGCTCTCGCAAATGTCTTACTTCTGGTAAAATGAACTAATGGACAGAAAGTGTACATTAACGCTGCTATGGTCAAATGTGAAGAAGTGTTCAATCTGAATAAAGCATCATTTGGTGCATTGCCTTGAATAAGTCTACATAGAAGGAAAGCTGAGCAGTCCGAAAATGGTGTTCTCTTCAGAAAAACTTAGTAATCATTCAGCTTACTTGTACAGAGCTATAAGGAGTAGAAGGCCGAATATTTCACCACCCTCCACGAATAGAGCATACTCATAAGTAGTGAACGTGGCTTTGGAGTCACCATACTTCTGGAATTGTTGCTGCATAGTGGAAGGAGTACGATAACAAGTTTGAAGGAGTATTCGTATTTAGCTGACCCTCTCCAAAAATAGTGTAGCGTTTGCATCTATCGCTGTGTAAAAACACCCATCGCAGTCGTAGAATCTGGAAAAGGAGAGTAATCTAGAACTTTCGAGAATCGGCTATTTCACTTCGTTCAACAAATCTCAGGATTTTGGCTGGGTCTTTTCTCAACTCGGACTCTTGGGACAGATTTCTAGAAAAAGTTGCCCTCGTGAAGAGCTTGACCCTCACAGTCGATTCGGGAACTTTCATTCCCGAGGCGCACGCCTCGGCTAACCCCTTCCTAATTTGAGGTAAACTCTCGATGAACTCCTTCAAGCACCTTTGAGAAAAAAGAAAAAAAGATCCCTCGAAGTTTCTAGTTCTCACATTCAATAGCGATTCTTTCTGTTGGCTAAACCCCTACACAACTCCTCCCCATCCCCCTCCTATTTCATTATGGTTCATTGTAAGTGGTTTAGATTTTTGAGGAAGTTCAAGAAAATGACGCATTCACAGAACTCGAACGATTCTCTTTTCCAAGCTAGGGATCTCTTGAATGAATAGTGAAGCTGTCCTGACGAAAATACCAGCGTGTTGAGGGCAATCACACGCCCGTACAGGTTATTCCAACTGCCTGGAAATTTCCAAAAACATCAGCCTTCTCAGCTATACTGTGCCTCATCAAAAAGGCACCTTCCTCTATGACTTCCGTTTGAGAACGCTTACTAGTAATCCTCAGTTTCAGAGCTGTTATATGTGTTGAAGGAGCAAGTGAAATTTTCAAGATCAGCTTTCAAGAAGACTCAAATGCAGCTGTCTTCCTCACCGTGCTGACTGATGCCCACTATACAAGGACTTTGTGGCAGCGAATGCGACGAATGAGGGGGGCGGAAGCCATCGTCAAGGACAACGCTCACCATTAAGAGTTTACAGAAACGAAAATTCAGTCCGGCACTCGGCTCTTACAGTAATCCGGCACGTGTTAATACGCACGTTTTTACCCGTCACGTATACGACGCGTTGAAAAGGGGCCTTGGGCAAGAACACGGGGTGGGTGTCGGGGTAAGCCAGGGGGTTACTGTAAGAGCCGAGTGCCGGACTGAGTTCTCGTTTCTGTTTGAGAGTTTATCCCTTCCTAGGCCTTTCTTTCCTAGAGTGACTACCATTTTTACACTCCATCTCTATCCACAACTTTGCTTGACAAGGGTGAGGCATATCACTTACACTCGAAAACCCTTGATCAGTTTGTCTGCAGTCACGAACTGTTAGAATCAAAATGAAGTGAGTTATCACTATCACAGGATTTTCTTATCTTTATGTTCTGAGTTGTTGTGAGATCCAAGGATACATGATCTACAAATCGCTGTGGGTGTTACTAACTGGTAAGATGTGCGGTCGGATGGGTAGTAGATATCAAGCTCGCTGGCTCACATTTTTGCGCTTTTGCTAGGTCCATCTTGCGTACGCTATCATTGTAGCAAAGTAGGGGTGCAAATCGTCAAAGCGCCATTGGTGGAACGGTCAATATGGCCATTGCCACTTCCATCTGCCGATTAACTTACTGCATTCGTTGCCCTTGGAGTTATAGGACTTGCATGGAATAACGTAAAATGAATGGACCTCACCTAGCGACTTGTAGAGGTCGGAAACATTGAGACGTTTCCTGAAATAAATGAACTCGATTCATCGGAGCATTTTGGTATGGCTGAGGAAGCTTCACAAGGCTAGAGTTTGAACGACGGTCAGGTCTTAAGGCAGCTCAAAGCTAACGAGGCCAATAGGTAGGTACCAATAATTGCGACTTCTTTTTTTTTTTGGGAAAAACAGGTAGGCAGCCTACATCCAGCTGCACCCGTACACTCAGTACTCGCCCAGGGAACGATTCAGAGATTACTAGTCACAGATAGGTAGGATTTCAATCAGAGAAGGGGCGAACGAACCAAGTTACCTTTTTGTCATGAGCCGCACCGCAGTAAGCCACTGTTGAATGTGAATGAGCCTGAATCTTGAAAACTTGGATTTTGAATTGAGTAAACCAAACACAATATCATATCATATCTCACATTACCATTACTTCGAATGCAATCCCCATGTTTCTGAATAAGTTAGTAGTGTCTGGTTGACTATGAGTAGGTCATGGTGTTCCTATGGAAGGCTCGTGGTTCAATCCCTTTCATCTCGGGCGACATCGTAATGGCATGTGTATACAAGCACTTCGTCTCGACAAACTCTTTCAAGTGGTTCGATGAACGTGATACAGCTCGGCTACATCGATATGCAGCGCTCGGTTCTAACCTTCGTGCTATTACTGTGCCTCTTCATTTACTGCGTGGATTCTAGCAAAGATGAAAATCGACTTTACAGGTGCGTACAATTTGGGCTTCAATGTCGAAGATCGTTTTCTTTTCTGTTTCGAGCAGCCAACTCCATTGAAAGGCCTTTGTTTTGAATATTTTTTGAGGTAATTATCTCTTTCTTCAATTCCAAAGTATGGGTCAGGAGGTTCCATCAAGGTCGCTCCACCCGCTCACTGCTTTTGATAATACTGAAATGGCCGTTTTCTGAGGATTTATTATTTACTTCAGTATTTCTCTTTTTGTATTCTGCTAATCATCTCACCTTTCTTCCCTTGCGGACATAAGTTTGACGATTGACTGTGAACGAAAAATCGGGAACCTTCCGAGATCAAAACAAAAAAAGACTAATGGGGGACCGGTAGGATCAAATAGGCGATTATGAAACAGTTACGAGTGACCTACAAGAAAAAAAAAAGAAAATTTTGTTTAGACGTTCTGTCAGACGAGAATGAAACTCTTCCAAATCTGTATTCGCTGCTATTGCAGGGAGACAAAAACAACTGATTGGTCGAAATAATCGAGGAGTTTGGCAACAGGTCTGACAGATTAATGGGGAGGAATCTCGACGCCTTCAAAACCCTCAGAGTTGACTTATTTGAAGAATTTCATCTCGAAGCACAGCGAAAAAAAAATTTGCCCGTGCAGCATAAGTTCAATTATGTAAAGGTTGTAAAGGGATAAGGACCCTCTGACCATGAGCGAGGGTTTCAGAGCTCAGGATTACTAGAGCTCAACTATTTGTGCTTTTTCAGGGAGATTCTTACTGGCTACAACAAACTCGTACGACCGGTCAGGAACCCTGCGGATACTTTGAAAGTTGAGATGAAAGTGTTTCTGCAACAGATAATGGGTTTGGTGAGCTCTCTCCGTCTTCATGTTATATATACCCATGAGATGCCCTGGAAATAATAGCATTTCTTGCAGGACGGGAAAAATCAGATCATCGAGTTGAATGCATGGCTTAAATATGTGAGTCCAATGCTTCTTTAGACGTCCTTCATTTGTCTTCAAGTCGGAGATGACTTTCAAGGTTTGGGTTGATTACCGGCTTTCATGGAATGCATCTAAGTATGGAGGTGTTTCAAGTGTTCGTTTTGCTGGAGGAGAAAATCAGATTTGGCGTCCCGATGTACTGCTTTATAACAGGTAAGAAGGGTTATACTCAATTGTTTTTGAGTTTTGAAGGAGAGTGGAGAGCTCAAACATCCTATTCATCTTAACTTACGAGATCTTCTGCAAGAAGAAAGGTGCGGCTTGATAAACTCTGTATACAAATTTGGTTGCAGCAGAAGTTAGGTCATTTTGGTTGGAATTGAAAGTTCCCTATGAAGATTGATGAGTTCTAGTCTTAAAGGATAAACCTCTGGGCGTTAATCAATCTCGTCCGGGGAATGCGCACATTCAACTTCCTTTCGAAATCGTAGTGGCGTAATGAATGCGTATGTGGCCTACACAAAGACTTCGGTGGCTAGCCGATGTACAGGTCAAAGCTTTGGTTTGCCCAGACGAGCCGGTACCATCGAGCGACTCCGAGGGATAGAAGTTTTGGTTGGCCTAGTCGGATATCGATTTGAGATTCGAACCCGTAACCATGCGTGTGTGAGGTGCACCACTTGCCACTACACGACCTCCGACCAAATAAGAATATTCAATGGAAAACCCTAAAAAAAACAAATGGTACTGGTCCAAAATTTTCTTCAACCTTCCAGGCACGAATAATGTTTCTCCTACAGCAGTTCTACGTTCGAAAAATATCAAAAACGTTCCCTTCCAAAACCATAGCATCGTTCTGAAACCACACTCATGTGTGGTCGAATATCCGTTCACCATCGTCCTACATTTTAATTGAGCAATCTCATATTTGACTGAGAAGCCAGGCTCACTTTCTTAATTCCCATAGACATGTAGACCTGTAGAAAGTCAAGAAACTCTTAGGGAGAGTTTCTTGACTTTCTACAGGTCTACATGTCTATGGGAATTAAGAAAGTNCGTTACGATACGGCTTGAAAGTTGAGTGCCTGATTTCAAAAGACTGAAGCTTCTGGATATTCTGAGAGGAATGCCAATACTGTAATCAATCGCTGAGATGCCTGGTGTACCTAGTCTCTTAGTCTTTTTCATCGGAGAACCTTTTGAAATGAATCTAAAGCGGTAAATTGAATATTAGTAACGTCTGCAGTCTATTCGGTCCATTTCAGTGCAAATGAAGACTTTGACTCAACTTATAAATCGAATGAGGTTGTGTACAGCACTGGAGAAGTCAATTGGGTGCCACCAGGTTAGTGAATTCAATAGATAGAGCTGACGACGTGTCGATATAACCACACGGTTGATATGATTTTCTCAAATTAAGGCATATTTCGAGCGAGCTGCAAAATGGACATAACTTACTTCCCATTCGATGATCAGCTTTGCTTTTTGAAGGTAATTTATGCACCAGAATTCACATAAAATATGAAGATTGCCCTGTAGTCAATGTTATTGTACGTATTGTTTTTATACAGAGCAGAATTTTGTTGTTTTTGTCCAAGACGACCAAAGGTGTGACCTTCCACTGTCCAGAATATTAGGGTGATATAGGAATATGATATGAGAATATCTGTTCAAGCTGGAAGCTACAAACCACCCTTGTGATAGTGGCGCCACTTGATAATAGTCGAGTTCCTTCCAAATTTTCAAATGGTGAAGAAAGTATTAGGTTGGTGCATAATTATTGCGGATATTTTCGCGGCTTTTGTTCCCGATAGAATTTGAATATCGAGATCGGGTTCTTCCTAGAAATGATCTACTTGTTTTCCTCTACAAGAATATACTCAAAAAACCATCCGCATATTCGCGAAATTAGGTTTTACTACTTTGAGAAAGATTGGAAGGTGGCACAGTCATTCCGCGATCTCAGTAACTTTTCGGCGATTGCTCATTAGGTGATCTAGTGAAGGTAAACATGACTCCCTGGCGGTCAACACGATTATTTTGATATTTTCTATTTTTCCTTCATTTTACCTGCCTCTATATATTAGGTTGATGCATAATTATTGCGAATTTTTTCCAGCAAATTTTACTTAACGAAACTATAGAAAAACTAAGCAATTACTCAAAGAAACTATAGAAATACTAAGCAAAGATATATTCAAATAATTACTCCGGAACTTATTCATCTTCTGCGTCAAGCGCTGCTTCCCAATGATTAGNATAAAATATGAAGATTGCCCTGTAGCCAATGTTATTAAACGCATTGTTTTTAAACAGAGCAGAATTTCGTTGTTTTTGTCCAAGACGATCAAAGGTGTGACCTTCCACTGTCCAGAATATTAGGGTGATATAGGAATACGATATGAGAATATCTGTCCAAGCTGGAAGCTACAAACCACCCTTGTGATAGTGGCGTCACTTGATAGTAGTCGATTTCTTCCAAATTTTCAAACGGTATAGGAAGTATTTATATTTGAAGGAGCAAGCTAACGTTTACCGTTTACAGTTCGGTTCGTGGACGTACAATGGCATTGCTTTAGATCTACAAATCATTACAGAACCCGGTGAAGGTAAGCCTATCATATACTAGGTTTATCAACAGAATCAACCCAATATCGTTTTAAATGCTTTTGAATCATCTCTCAGCTTAGCACAATATTTCTAGGACAAACTTACTGATAAAATTCGAAAAGAGACGAACATTCGGGGGCAACTGTTGCACCGATCACCCTATGGGATTAATACCAGTACAAATGCAGTATATATCTACAGGGATTGAGCACTCTCTTTCAGCTAACCTTGCCTTTCAATATCTTTTGTTGGTAACTTTATTAGCCTTGTGCCCCCTTATATACATACTACTCATCGGTTTGCTTTTTGATGCACGGATTGTCCTACTTAGTTGCTGTAGTCTATTTTAATGCCACATCATACAATCTTGATGAGCCTCTGCCGATGACTACATACAATGCAATAGTTGTCATGGATGTGAGAAGCGGGGAGAATAATGGAAATTCTTGGTTGTATGGATCCTTCTTCACATCTGGTTGTTGAGTTGTGCAACTTTAGTGAAAAGAACAGTCATGAAAAGTCCCTTCGCGACCCTACCAACACGTCACCCCTCCCCTTCCACTCCTTCCCCCTCCCTCGGTCGCTTGATTTTTCACTGATGCATCGAGTGCTGGAGATTCATTTAATTTCATTTCTTATTTAATGCATTTATTTGCTCTTGTCGGTTGAAGCTGATAACTGTAGTTTACATTGCTCCAGAATTTTCGGAGGATATTTAGTACCTTCTTGAGTCAAGCGTTATAGCTTACTGTAGAGCTTTTTTGATTACAGAGCCAGCCATGGATCTATCAACATATACACCAAGTGGAGAATGGAATTTAATAAGTATGGCTAGCATTGTTACCTCATACCTTTTTATTTGATTTCAGCCATATTTCGGTATTATAGAAGTGCCAGCAATCCGAGAAGTTTCTTACTCACAGTGCTGCCCGGAGCCATACTCAACCGTGACGTTTTATATGCTTTTAAGGTGGAATTTCCTTCGAATTTGATTATAAGCTGAGTGTTCGCAAACATAAAATCGATAGAATTGACACGAATCGAGAGTATTTCCTTGTTTTGGCTTTCGGTGGCGGTTAGATCTGAATTTTTCAGAAACCATAAGAAACAGGTGGTCACTCCGTAGCGACTGTATATGACTTATGCTGTTTTTGAAGAATTTTGCTCTATTGGATGGGTAAAATCTTTGTAAGAGAGGGAATTCGTTAGCATTCTTAACACTCAAGCGTGTGCAATCCCAATCAGGTCGACCACGCATTTAACATGCTGGATTGCGAACTCATTTGGAGAAAATATAGAGTACAGTGACTTCGCTTCCCTAGCCTTTACCGAACGTATACGAGACAATTAGCCTGCTGATCCGAAAAGGGCTCTACGATGAGCAATTGCAATAGTTTGAAATTAATCTGCTCTTTCATTTTCAGAGAGTCGAGATTGCGCTTCTTAGGCCGTCTTCCGGACAAATCGAGGCTGCGGCCAATAGCAAATGGTTCTTACAAATAGTGTTTTTGTCCGCGGGCAGGACACAACCTACCATCGAACTCAGGCTTCTCCCACTTCACCAGAAATAGGGCTACTCCAATCTTGCATCGTTGCGAATATGATTCAATCGCGTGACCACAGTCGTTCAGCATAGGCAATTTCTTTCCTGATGGCCTACATGAGAACTTGAAACTAGTTAATTTATCCAGCCAGGCATTCATTCGATAGAAGTGGCATCACAATACCAGAGAAGCGGAGCCCGCTCCCAAGTGGGACGAGCGCTGAAGGAGAAAAAGGAAAAGAAGACCCTTTAGATGGATATTTTACTTCTGAGGAAAATATCAATTATGCAGATGTGGTCGATCAGAAAACAAAGAGAATGAGAACATCTGATGATTTTAATGGTTCCAACACTTCCGGCACTGAAAGCAGTAACTTCCTCGACCTTGAAAAATCATACCACTAGTTACAATAAGGATGGGAGAAGGTATCCCAAAAATACGAAACAATATCGATCTTTCAGGCGTCGATCAATCTACTACCTTTTCAACATTGTCTTTCCATCGTTACTAATTTCTGTGATGACGCTAATTGGATTTTGTCTTCCAGCTCATGATATGAGCGAAAAAATCGGTTACCGTAAGTCAAAAAAAAGAGACTCAATTTAGCATATGTATCGAATAATGTGATTTTTCAGAAACTACCATACTTTTGTCAATATGTTTCTTTGTAACGATTGTCAGTGAAATGACTCCGCCTACGTCCGAGTCGGTACCTCTCTTAGGTAATATTTTTTCAAAAGCTGTTTATTTGTTGTGAGAAGGTTCACTACCTGTTACGCATTTCGGTGAAAATGTGACGTGGAGGTGAGGGGAAGGGATCTGCGCTGTTATCCTACATTGAGCTATAGAGCGTAGAGAAGGAGCAGTAGCCGTCTTCGGTAGTCCATAACGGTGCCTAGGAACTTTTCTTAACCTAGCATATACAGTTTTTCCAAGGAAGGAGCACTGGGTAACTTCTGAACCGCTTAATTTGGAATCAGTTACCGGATATGTGTCACGAGGGTCAGTCAAGCGTTCCATACTATAGTGTTTGCCCAGGATTATGATTCAGGAGTATTAACCTTTATGTATTTCGAGACAGTTCACTACTTTATCTTTTCCCATATTACATCGATTTCATGATTTTTTTTCGAGAATGTGATACCAGGAATGTTCTTCTCTACGCTCACATTGATAGTCGCCGTGTCAACGACATTTACCATCACTGTTCTTCATTTCCGATACCGTCATCCCCATAACACTAAAATGACTCCTGCTGTAAGTACCTCTGCTCATTTTTTTCGTAAAAGATCTCTCCCAATAGACTTGCATTTACACAAGTGTTTCCTTGATGCTAGGTTTTCCCTTTTACAGCTCCGCCACTTCTTCTTAGAATGGCTACCCAAAGTCATTCTGATGAGTTCATGGGAACAACGTCGTCGCAGCACGAGTGACTCTTTTTCACAGAACGAATGCCAACACATCCGAAGTGATGTGAAAAGCGTAGAAGAACTCAAGGTGAGAGCTCATCTAGGTAGACTGACAGTAATTTCTCCATACACACCATCGATTATTGCCTACCAGCAAGAGTAGCAGAAGCAGGTTTCTAGAATAGGATGAATGGAAAGTGGCTGAATGATTGGGTAACTACCTTCCGCACATTTGATCCCTGACCAACGATGTGGCTAATCCTGAAACACTGCTAGGTATGCGGTAAATAAACCCTCGTCACTGTTGATATTACTCGAAAATGAGCGTATATTGAGCCCGATTGAATCCACTGCCATTTCACCTTTTAATTCCTCATCATGCTTAAGTAATGGGGAGCATTTTCTGCTCGAAACTGTTTGAACTGAAATCCTATTGCTGAAGGCTGGATGTATCGTTTCAGTTCGGTACTTTCGACTCTTGCGAAAGCATGGAATCTCTGCTCTCAAACACTATTTCTTCACTACGAAGGAAAAGGTAAGTAGTACCATGAACATGCTCTTCCATACCAGCCCGTAGGCGGTCGCCAAGTGTAGTGCTGAGCCTGGAAGTCAATAATTACCCGAAGTGACTTTCGGTGATTGGGAGCTGCAGGCTCTCTGACTGTGAGATGGCAAGTCGGAGTGGCGGTACTTCTCCCCAATCTCCCACGGCAGGCGGCAGTGGTTCGGCGGCGGCTATCGTATCCATCCACTGTGAGCTCATTCCTTTCCCTTTCATAGCGAGCGGTCGTGTACAGCGAGCGCGACGCGACTTTAGGGGATGAGTGCCCACTCCACAAATTAGGGCTCCTAGCGCCCTACATTTCTCATGACATAGCGTAGGTAAATGTGTACAAACCTGCAATTTATTCCAGAGGTGCAAATGACTGTTATCCCTGTATTTTGCAAACGTTCTAGTAATCAAGTTTCTGTATTTTGAATACTTAATTGAAATTGGGAATACAATGCAGGAATACCTACGAAAAGCTCTATTTGCAACGGAAGATTGGCGAAGGCATACTGACGAAACGTTCAACGCTAAAGAAATCACGATCAGCATTATCAAGAGATACTCCATCAATGAGCAGCATAGGCGCTTGCTCGACTACATTCCGTAAGATTGCAGCTTCCGCTCTGTCAGAAAAATGTCTGGGAAATGATAATAATAATCATTTGCAGGGACCCGACTTCATGTCCAAAATGGGGCGAGCGCTTTCATCAAATGCTACTCCCTCATTCTCAAGCGGCTCAAACAAGTCCGTCTTCGAGGCGAGCACTTGAGAGTGACCGTAAACGAGCAGGTTTGGTGGAATATAAATTTCAAGCATCTTTTCAAGTCCAATAAAATGAGAAGTAATGTATGGCTCTTCACAGGTATCATAAAGTATAGGTTTTAATAAAGAAACTATGCAGAAAGTGTTTTTGATTAGTTTTCTTGAAAGCAGAAGCGATTCGATTCGCTTTCAGCACTTTCAGTTCTTACTCGTGTTCAGCAGACAAGTTTTGGCGTGACTTTGCTTCTGCGCCCCTACCTTAGAGGTTGGGGCATGATGAGTTCATGCTGGATTAGGTTCACCCGAAGTGGATCTAAGGATCTGTCCTCTTAGTTGTCGCTTTGTAGAACTTATTCTAGGAGTAGGAAATTTTAAGGCATAGTTCACGATAATTTTTGGTTATTTAGATTATGAAAAAAGTGAAAGAGGATGTGGAAAATAGAACGATGAAGATGAAGAAAGCGCGCGGATTGGCATTTTCAAAGTGGGAAAAGGCTCAGAAAAAATCGAGAATGAAACCAGAAAGATGAAGTAGAACGGGTGTTTTGACGAGCCATACCATGTGTGTCATTGCGTACGCGTGAGTCCTGATGCGTATAGCTGACTACAGTAAAGAAATGTCCTTTAAATTCTTTTACTCATTAGCATAAGTTAATTAAAACGCTATTGGCAGCAATAATAGCCCACCTTTTTTATCTTCGTAAGATAGAATACTAGATAAAGAATCGCAACAGCAAAAAGAAATAACAGAGAGAAATAGTATCGGAGAAAAGCATTGCCTGATCACTCCGCCATCAGCCGATTGCGCGCTGAACGTGTGGGTCCTGGCGCGAATTGGGCAATCTGTATCACCTCGACACTCGTCTGGCACATCATCGATCGATGAGCGTAGCGTCCAGCCGATCCTGTAATGGGACTGCTACTATGCCCTAGCTCTTAGGCTTTTGGGCTCCATAGAGTCCTTTCTGTTACTCTTGAGACCACCGTATAATCTTGGGGGAAACCTAAGAAACAATTTTCATCGTGAGCCGTGTCTTTAAGTGTTGCGGGTGCTTGAGACTTATGGGTTAGGGTTGTGGTTAACCCTTTGAAAATGACCTTGCGGTTGTTCGTTAGATTACTAATAATGAGGGAACAAAACGGAGAGTTTGAGCAATGTATAGTATCTATTACGCACGACAAAAACGGTGTGAATGTCTCGAAGATGTGAGCGTCTTCTTTGCTGGGTGATGAAAGTGCTCAAGATCCCCTAGGAGAGCATCCCGAATTCAACCTCTTGATGTGCACTTTTCCTTAATGTTTGAAGCTATGTTCAAGCTATGCTCATCACTTCTTATCTTCCTTCCTTTCGTCAGTCATTAAATTCCGTGATCTGGAACTTTAGGGCTCACGAATCGCCTCATCTCACAAACAGAACTTTCGTTTAACACATCTAAATCCAAAAAGTCTTTTGCTTATTCATAATATGCAAATTGCTAGCAGTGTGAGTAAACTCCCTTGTAGTGGTTTATGTTTATGGTGATGTGTCCATGATTTGCTTGCCTATTGTCCCAGCAGGGCTAACTTATGAAGTCGCCACTTCAAATGAACACAAGGACCGTGCTTCTTCCATGAAGCCTGTGGTCTCTGCTTCTGTACTTTGAAGTGAACTCCAAAAACCTCATTTTCAGCACTTGGGGTGGGAGTGCATATCTATTCTATCAATGGTCACCCTATTTACGCCCAACCCTATTTTATCCATGAAACCAGGTCACACTTTTCTTGAAATACCGCTTCCAATGTTCACAAGTGTGTGAGAAAGCTCTAAATTAATTCATATGAACCACGAAGTCCTTCTGCAGGTACTTGGGATTGGTTCTGTAAGAGGAGCACTAGGGACGTGGACCGTTCTGTTATACATATGAATTCGTCGCCCAAAAATTCTACACTGTACTACTCAGCTCTTTTATTCATTCTCACAATTGTATATATAATAAAAAGAGGAGAGTAGTCTTTCCTAGTTTCTTCGCGAATTTGAAAAGCCGACCGAGATTTCAGTGTTCAAAAAAAAACATTCATGGCAGGGTAATCCGCATCTCGAATTATTTGGAGCTCTTGCTTTATTAAACACGTATGAATGAAGGCGTTTCTGAAGCATTTTGAAAAAACTCCATTACAGGAAGAGTGGAAGTACGCTGCTCTGGTTCTCGATCGCCTCTGCTTGATTTTGTTCACTCTACTGATGTCATCATTTGGAGTTTCAATGATTATCTCTACACCACATTTTGATGCTTGAGCTTCATAACAATTGACCCCGAANGAATTCTGTTCTGATAATATTCTGGTATGATTTGTGAAATTGAAATCGCAAAACTTTAACCACTAGAAGTACAGCGTTAAAAAGTAACTGTGTGTTGGGGCTGGTTGCATATCGACACTGCACGAGTCGACGGTGTATATTTTCTGCCTAGCTTTCCATCGTCGTGAATTTTAATTACTCAGTTCTCTCCGATATATAGGTTCAGTTTGTCCCTACTTCGAGTACAATGGTACAATATGATGAAAGTTTACCATAACGAAAGAGCTTCGCGTAGTTCTATTTGAGATTTGGCACACTACAGCGCAGAGACCCTCAAGCTCGCGGCGCCCCAAACGCTGGCACAGCCTTCGAGCGTTGAGCGCCACCACTTCGCAGCAGCATCTGGTGCCGGCGTTTGACGCTCTTGCGTCAAATGACACATTCAGAGACAGAGTTGAGCATTGATCGATGAATGCTCGCAAGGTATTAGCGCAGGAGACGGAAACCTCGGCAAGAAAGGCATTAGAGGCGTTCTTGATTCTACAAAAGAATCCCAAGATGAACAATAGAAATGAGTGTCCATCCATAACCAGTGACCCCTTGCCATACTTACCGCTCTTGAACTATGATTCGTGATCAGTAGCATCGTAATTTGATCTTCCTTATCATAAGTATAAGAGACAACAAGAAGTCTCATTCTCTACTAACAGTCGTCTGTGGCGACAGCGGATTCTATCCGCTTTCACGATGGAGCCTAGTGAGTATTTCATGGAGAGGGTATTTTTCCAATCAGTTTCGGTCGTCTTTTGCTAGAGAGTCAAACGCTATCGGATAACGTGAACCATCTCGACTGACGTTTAGGCCTCTGCAGACGATGATTACGTCGAAGAATTTCACCGAAGTAGAAAAGTGANCACTTGCGTGAATTGTGCATCTTTTGTTGTGTTCTATGAAAAAGGGGACTACGTCCTAGTACACTCTACATTTCTCACACTAAACGCCAACTAGGTAGAAGGGGTCAAACAATACCGCATAAAGCTAACGTAAGCTGCTCCTGGATATTGAGGTATTTTCTGCTATTCAGATCACCTTATCAGGCACCTTTGTTCTTTTATCATTACTTGTTGTGTCCTAGGGTAGTCAATAAGAGCATGAGTATTTGTTGGAATCAAGAGTGAATGTCGCGCATTGCAAGAATAGCTCCGAGGGATTGCTGGCATGCCGACGCCTCTGGGTATCCGCCGCAATTGACCCCCTACAATCGAACATAATCGCGCGGGAATCACAGTAACAAGAAGGTGACTCTCGCCGCAGTCCTGGCACTCGCCCTTTTACAATTATCTCTGCCTCGATGTGGTGTGACTTCCTTCTTTATCTCGCCCCACAGGGCTTTGGCGGTTCACTGCATTGTTAGTGCACTGACTATGGACCTTGTCTCTAACGAGGAGTTATGTGATTTTATGATACACTAGTAGTCCACTGGAGCCTTATTCTGTTCTCGCGTCTCGTTCCATCACATCGAGTTTGTTTCCAACATATGAATGACACCGCTTCGTCCGGTAGATGGTTGGACTACGTGTCGAATAGAAAAGTGTAGTTCAAAGGCAACGAAGTAGTTCCAGGTGCCCGATATAAGAAACCCAAAGGGGAGAGAAATGTGCCCGCCTACTTACCGCCAAAGTTCACAGGACGGAACCCTCGAAATGCAACAGCAAATGTACAACACAGTTGCAGTTTATATACCGCTCGGCCCGCCGCCAGATGGTCAAACCAGGCACATCTATACAAGACCAAGTACTCTGCTGAAACGAGACCACAGGTGCTACAACATTACCAAACATAGAAGCAGGCAATTTTTAGCTCTATGTGCACCAAGATTTGTTGAAAGATTTCTATCGATACTTGAATGCTTCAAATTATAAGTAACAGGAATTGCGTTTTTGATCTGCTTCAGTGCACGAGGTTGGACAGCATATGAATCTTTGTGATTCTTTTGTAACAGTAGATGTCCGATAAAAATTAATAAATTAATATTTATTAATAACAAATTTCTCTAATACTAAAGCATGATTCCTGAAATACTCTCAAAAACTCCCACTTCCAAACATTAGGGGTTACCTTGTACAACTGATAAAATTTAGCAGGTAGCACAACTTTTCGAATCCTTCTTGATGCACAAGTATTTCGCTTGTGCTCATTCTGCTTTACTCAATTCAGTCTATTTCATAGTATTATCTTACATCACTTTCAATCTCGCTTGTGTCGAAGATGACCATCTTTTATCGATTACCGATGAATGTCTGTATCTACCATTCCTTAGGCCGTCTAATGACTAAACGAAATAACAAGTAAATTTTTTATAGCCGCAAATGTGGAAAACAAAGCAGTTTGGCTCGTGTTTAAATGGAGCATTGTTAATTTTCTCATGTCAATGGCTAGCGGCTATTTTTTTTGTAGAAGACGCCATATTGAATGCAGTGATCTACTTTGCATTTGCAATTAAATATTAGTGCTACTAATGATGCGTTGCATATGACATGAATATGCCCGAAACTCTAACGCTGTATTTTACATCAGTTCGGGATGCAGTATTGTGGCTACTATCTGCTTACACCAGTGAATAAAAAAACATGAAGCTAAACAGAGTACTACGACTGCAGGATTAACTTTGTAAAAAAATCGTTGACTGCGTCATTTTTTCACAAAGTCAATCCTGCAGTCGTACAACTCTCTTTAGCTTCATGTTTTTTCATTATTCACTGATGTATGCAGATAATTTGCAAAATGCAGTGTGCAAAATCTATTTGATCGCAGAGGTCGTTAAAAACCAAAACGAAACCAGTATTACCCCAAACATCATTCCCAATTTTCTACATGACTATCCTGCATTGGGGTTAAATATAAGGAATAGTTGCTGGTGGTCCCTAATGGCTAAACGAAATAACGAATAAATTTCTCCTTATAAGTGCAAATAAGGAAAACAAAGCAGTTTGGCATCTGACAACTTTGATTTATCGACTAATCACTAACCATAATAATGATGAATTGACACTAACAGCGTTCAACAAACTTTTCAGAGACTTGCGAAAATGGTAAAGTAAATATATCACTGTAAAGACATTTATTCTTTTCGATAACATTTCGGAACCGAAATTGAGGTTAAACTTTTGGGACGTGATGACAGTTGTACAGTTGAGCGACTTCGCAATGTATGAAATTCCACAAAACTGAAGTAGTTTCGAATTTGCGGACCATACGAAAAAACCTTCACTACCTATCAACACAGGATTCATTTGCTTCTTTCCATACAGGAAGAAATTTATTAATGAATTTATTTTGCTAACACTGCATACATGCACGTAGACAACTTGAATTAGTAGGCAACAAAGCTTCAAGTATCGCTTTGGCAAGGAATAATCACAGGCACGATCAATCGACACAATGTATTAAATACAATTATACTTTCAATACATTCTTGGAATGAGTGGTTTCGGTACAATGATGGACTTGAGAAAGTAATCATGAGACCCGTAATAAAAGCTCTTAGCCCAATTTATCGCGGGGCCGATAAAACTGCCTCTTATGTACAGAATCAATTACAACTTATATTATGGAAAGAGGCAATGAGCACAATTAAATGGTATACAACTGTATCTGTGATACGCATTACATTAAAGCCTCAAAGACTAGAATAAGCCACAAACCTATTTTACGCACAGTCGTACCAGTTCTATAAAGATACCCAAAAAATCAGAACCGAATCGTTTGAACTAAAAATTAAATCCTAGTCGACTCAGTGACAAAGTTTTGCTTCTACAGAAGCCCTTTCTTCTGCTTCTAATAAATCGACAAGGATATGCGTAAACAGTGGCTTCGATGTGATATTGAGAATTTTATATTTCAAAGAGTTTAGGCCGTCTCCTTTCCAATCGTCTTTCGTGTGTTCCAATAATTTGTATCGACATCTGAAAAAAAGCTCTGTGATTATCTCAGATGAGGACCTTAGCAATGAAATTTTCGCTAAGTGGTGTGAATATTGCTGGTTAGATCAAAAATAAGTGAAAAAATAGTGTTGAAAGCATTCATGATTGTATTGTGATTCTTCTGCCGACGAGGTTGTTAGGGGGAAACTTTATCAGAGGTCTGACGTTTCGACGCGATCGTCTTTTTTCAAAGGCACAGTTCACCACCGCAAAAGCGGAACAGCGCCACTCCAACTCAGTTATGGTTAGTAACACACTCGGAGTGGCGCTGTCCCGCTCTTGCGGTGGTGGACTGGGTTTTTGGAGAAGGCGATCGCGTCGAAACGTCAGGCCACTAATAAAATATGCACCAAACAATCTTGTCGGCAACAGAATCACAGTACAATCGTAAATGGTATACAAATGCCGAGGTTCCATTGAGAGAAAGGCTGGAATTTAGTGTTGAAAACATACAAAAAACAGGACCTAGGTTAGGATTACTATTATAACGTAATAGCGGGAATTCATGCACAAAAAAAAATCAGCAATGCATGCAGAAAACGCAAAGGGTCCGCGTTGAGCTAGTGCTTCTTTTCTTAAACGACATAGGAAAAAGAGATCCAGAGGCAAGCAAAACTCACATGGTGAACGCGTAATAAATGGAAAGCCAAGAGGGCAGCAATCTAACAGCTTGAGGTTTGACGGTTCGAGTGTATGTTTTTTTTATTTTGAAAAGCGACCAGTTGGCCATAAAAAGGCTCAAGCTTTCCGTCCGTCTGAAAACCATTGAAAACCGCGATGTCGACTATTCCTCACATCGAGGGGCGTTACATACAGACTTTTATGGATTGCGCCTGAGGGAGTACCTTGTTGAGCGATGCTAAATGGAGCGCGTTTGTCGCAAACTTGGTTCCTATGTTCATATGTGTATCCTAACATGTTCCCGTGTATTGTTCCGCTCATAATTTGCACTGAATATGAGTAATTGCCCAGCAGACTCGAGATAAATAATGGCTCACCCAATCTACAAAAAGCCCCGATTGTAGCGCTACGGTTCACGAAGGATCATATAGCAGAACAGTTTCCATGCTAGCGACATGGAAAACGATTATATGCTTCTATGAAAGAAATGTCGGACTAGCAAAGGTCATATGGTCAACAACGTGAGGTCGATTACAGGAATTCGAAATACTATTGAAAGACTGGAGTGATACCAAAATAATACTGCAACTAACGGGTTGATAGGATTGGCTTTTGGTTCATGTTCATGCTTAATCATCGTATACCGAGCAACAGTTTCGTTGTATCGATCCACTTTATATCCAGCATAAGTAACTCTGAAACGACACCGTTGTATTGATTTGAAAAATATTAGAACCGATTACTTAACAAATGGCGAAAAACCTTAAAATAGACAATTCAAAAATGGCATCCCCAGTCGATCCGAAGCATTTCCATGTCAGATTCTGTTCATGAATGGATTCTTATGTATGAACAATTAAAGTATTCGAATGCAAAGTAACAACCGTTTGACATCCCTCCCGCCATTCATTAAATGATGCGTATACTCGGATTTACTAATCAGATACTCCTTTACGCTTACTCTTGACGAAATATCAGAATTCGCTATAATGCCTGAAGGTACAGTAAAGTAGCGAGAATAAAAATCAGCGAAGCGAAAAGCGAAAATCAGCATTATTAGAAAAACGTAAGGCTTAAAAAAGGGGCTTAAAATAGGGCTCGAACGAAAGTGTGACGACATGCTTCATGGAACGGGCTAGCGCGGACGAGTTGTCTAACTGTGCATGTAGGCTACAATAAGCTGCCTGCGTGCAACGTGCGTCTTGGTGGTATAAACGGTGCGACCTATTCGGCCCCTACTACTCGGAAAACCTTAACTTTCACAGGTTGATCCTGGAAAGAAATCTCAAAAATTATTTTCACCGTGAGCTGTGCACTAAACTATGAATTTGAAAAACAAGATATTTCTTCGCCCCTCCTCTCCCCGACGTTCGTTTTTTCAAATTTCTAAGCTGCATGTGAGAAATTCATCGGTCAGAAGAAATAAGCTGATCTCAGGCAGATTCTGTTGCCGTGCTGCTTGTTTACTCATTTATTTATTCTTTCAGTCCCGTGTTGATTTAACCTGATAGAATTCTGATACCAATCTTGCCACTATTATTTGCTTTCATTATCACAATTATTACAATTATGTCATGTCACCGGCCTTTTGCGAACACTCTGCCAAAGTTTTCTTTATGGGAAGGATGTACTGTGCTCTTCTGAACTTCAGTCTGTATGAAAATAAAATATAACTCATACCTGTAGTACATGTCGTCGTCTTCACCACCCCATCCCCAATATCGATTTGAAAATCCATTTGTTTTGTTAAATTGATCCTTTGTAAGAGCAGAACTTGTACCAAACATTTCTTGATAAAAGAGCCTGCCAAAAAGATCATAAAGGAAAATAAGAAAATCAATTTGTCAGATGTGATCAATGAATAGCTGGCCCTAATATTCTTGACTCACTTGTAGTTGAATTTATTCACTGCCACTGCCATGTGTCGAGGATTTTTGTCAGGACAAACGTGTAGATTACGGTCATCCTCTGGTAGAAGATCTACGTCATGGAATACATAACACTGCCAATCATACATTTTATTTGCCTCCACATATCCAACATTGAGTAGCTAAATCTTATGTACATATCTACACCCATAAATTGGCGATCCTAAGCAATCTGTGAAATTAATGGAAGCAGAAACAACGATGTTGTTTCTGCTTCCATTGATTTCACAATAACAAGGGAAACGACAATCTGAACAACAACAAACATCTAGAATCTTGCGTCAGATAGGTAATCAATTTTGATTGAACAGATCTTAGGAGAAATTCTATGAGAAGAAAACTAACTGTCAACTTCAACTTTGTCCTAGGCCCAACACACCCAACTCAAAAGCACAGCTCACGATATTTTCGAGGTATCTGTTTTGGGTGAAACAGTGGAAAGGAAATAGTGGAAGTTATGGTGCAGAATAGTACGTGGGTGGCCAAAAATGGGCAAACATAGTTAACTTCAAAAAATATGAGGCTTTAAAAAAGAAGCAAGAAAGGGAGTTGTACCATATGACCGCCTGGGTGTCTCTCATTTAAGTGCACTATTCGTCTCGTCGTGTGAGTAGTGCATTTATAACAAAGCTGGCATAACACGGCATAAGGGGCCACAAATCTTTCTGGCGAGAAATCTCGGTGACCATTTTTAACGTGAATTGTGCCTTCAAAGGTATGTACCACATCAGCCAGCAATGGTGTAGGTTCCTGCTTTCTTACCTCACTCGTTAGCTTATGTCTATGAAAACTTTGGGTGAAGCTGCCCACGTTTCGAATACCTTTCTCTTGATTGGGACGCTATCGTATTAGTCTTGGAAGTTTTCCTAACTCGAAGCTGTCTTGCAGCTTGCAAAATATTGGCCTCTCCATGGACGTATGGTAGTGGGCACCCCAGTGATTCACTGAAGATGTCAGAGAAGCTTTGTATCGAAATACAGCAGAAATGGTTCAAGTTGGAACTCTGTTCCTCGACCAGTTATTTACAAGTCGTTCAGTACCAGTCCTTCAGTAAGGCAACGGAAAGTATTCGCGGCTCTAGGGACAATGCATTTTGACATTCTACAAAGAACTGCCCGGCTGGTTCCTGAGTTCCGGATATGGTGGTAGGAGCCTTGCTGATTTTAATGCTCCGCGACTGATGCAGTTGTGAAAGTGAATCCGGATTCTCTCATTCATGTTAACAATCTTAGCAATCAGCAAACCTTAATAGCATCGCGGCTTGAGAGAAGCCTGCACTGTTTGGGTGCCTGATCAACAGAGGCAGTAGTCAAGGTCTTCTGTGNAAAGAACTGCCCGGCTGGTTCCTGAGTTCCGGATATGGTGGTAGGAGCCTTGCTGATTTTAATGCTCCGCGACTGATGCGGTTGTGAAAGTGAATCCGGATTCTCTCACTCATGTTAACAATCAGCAAACCTTAATAGCATCGCGGCTTGAGAGAAGCCTGCACTGTTTGGGTGCCTGATCAACAGAGGCAGTAGTCAAGGTCTTCTGTGTGAGCACCTACCAGCAGTACCTGCTCCGACATGTTTGCTTGCGAGCCTCTCAAGCGAGATTGTTACTGGAGAGTAAAGCTGGATTTCTATGTGAATTGTACAAGGAAGATACAATGGCTGCCTGCGGGATGCTAGCGCAGGAAGCAACTCCTGGTTTCTGCGTTAAATTGGTGGGCTCCGCTGCGGAGGACCAGCACACGTATGCTTTATTTGGAGCTGCTCTCGTGTGGTTTCATGGTGACAAATTACTTCAGTCTACTCCACAAACTTGCTGGGATTTCAGGTCAATATATTTCGGAAAAACCACCCAGTTGTGTAGCAAGATGGTAACGCCCACTGGCAAATTGAAAGGACCATACAGAAAGGATTGCGAAGTAGTACGATTGGGAACATCCGCCTCAGTGGGCAGTTTACGATGAAAAAGATTTTTTAAGATATTCCTATAGACTGAGCCTTTGACCCCCACTTACAGCACATGGGACGAAACCAAACGTGAAAATGGCTTAGGTGAGGCGTTATGAAGGCTAACGACTGTACTGCTTGTATGCCACCCAACGTGGCCAGGACATAAAAACCATGGCCATGCCCCACTGTTTGCATTGGAGAAGGCTTTGTTGACAATGCAATTAGCTGATCGTCGTAGCGTGTATTAAATTTTGCACTATTCTCTAATTCTACTGTTGCTCCTTGTAACTCCTGCTCTGAATGAAAATTCTTAAGGGTACCACTAAATAAGAGTAGAGCGCAAATTAATATAGAATCACCTATCCAGGATGGTGAACGGATTGGAGGGTGATTTAAACATTTTTCGCTTACTATAGCCAGCCTTCGAACATTTCCTCCATGCAACTTTTGTCGTCACATTCTCGTCTTATCAATAATTTTACTACTTTTTTTAGCACGCCTCAGATTTCTCTGATTATTTCGATTTCGCGTTTTCCTCGCCACGTTTTTGGAATATCGCCTTCATTATTCGTCTACAACTAGATAACCTATGATTGTCGTGAACTGTGTGTTTGATCTTGTTTCTTCCTAGTCTTGCACACCCGACTATTCATTTGATACTTCGATGCATGATTCAAAAGACATTAGCTATACTGTATTCGAGAGTTCTCTGGGTTGCAGCTGTGTGAGGAGGGCATTGCGCAACTGCAAAAGTGTTAGGTACACGTAGTAGAAAACAATGTAGGTATACTGAAATCTAATGTGTATTCAATATTTAATGGTTTCCAAAAAATGATGCTTGTGGCGCAGGACGCATGCAGCAACATTATAAGTTGAATAAACAAATCGAAAACTTAACAAATTTACCTTAGCTCGGTTGAACGTTTGGTTTGCTGTCTGTTCGACAACTATAATTGAGTAGTCTAACATTTGCTTGGTAAGAAATGGATGCATATTATTTAGAAGGATATGTAGGTGAGATTCTCTATCGCGGAACGGGATGATAATCGCAACCTGTAAAAGGCAAACAGTTGATGAAGGGTTGGAAACGTAGCAATCAATTTTGCATTCTTTTTGATCAATAGTCCACTAAATATCTAATGCTCTCGCTGGTAGTAACTCTGGATGGCGTCTTTGCTCGAACCTATAGACGTGCCTTTGCTACTCTTTTGTTAAAGAATCAACCCTCACCCGATTCATAGGCTTACAACCATCTGGAATGTAGTGACCGCCCGGTTTTAGATACTTGAATTTTTCTTCCAGTTTTTGCAGTGGAATTTCTTCCATGGAGACATTGATCCGTCCAACGAACTTCAGTCTTTGTGAACAGCTTGGATAATTGTCGGTCTTGTTTGAGTACGGTATTGAAGAAGAGTCTGGAACGATACATTTCAAATACAAGATATTTCAACGTGTAGACCAGCCTTATCATTTGGCTGAATATTTTTTTATTGAGAATCCTATCAACTGCTTTATTCAGCTTATAGCACCCATTTTCATCAGTGTTCCGACGCGGCTACTCCATCATCACTCCATTATTTGCCGTACGTCACCGTTTATACTAAGGAGTTCGGAAAGCAGACCTCTTTCTTCAATGTACGAGGTAGGTCTCGTTGGTGTAACTACGAGGGGACGTGACTGGGGCCAAGAGAGAGAAAAAATAGCTCCGAGGGCATATAAATGTCGTTAGAAGTATCATCCTCCTAACTTGCCAACGCATCCAACGGCAGCCCTTCCTGGGGACGGACAGGTAGGACGAGCAGAGAAATGGAAGGAGAATACGCGCAGAAATGCATCGATGTATGTACTCTAACATTCTTAGAATGAACCCAGACTCATCTATTTGACCCAAGACTTGATGAACCATGCACTGACCCATGAGAACAAGAAGAGTCAAACGCCNCCTCCCCGCTCTTTCCTTCTAAGGATTTACTGTCAAAGGAAAACGCTAATACTATAGAACATACGGAATAAAAATTGAATATCGTTCTTTAAGCTGTCAACTAAGTCCGGTTTTCTGTCTGACTTTTATCAGAATGTTCTGTAATGCACAGATAAGGCAAAAAAAAAAGAGATGGGTTAACCACTGATGTACAAAAAAGGCCTGTCAACATTTATGGCTACAAAATGATAACGTCGACTTTTTAAAGCAAACACTGATAACTTCAAAGCCCTGTTCCGGTATTGTACATAATGCTTTTTCTTGATATGGGCTTCACTGGTGATAATTTTTTTCGAATATGGCCCTGTGCGGTGTTGAGATGTTTGATAGGGTAACTTCAAAAGATCAGTTCCATCCTTTAGGATCCGAAAAAGGAGGTTTAGGCTATTTGTAGGACATTTAGATATCGTGAACCTCGCGTGGACTTATGTATGTCAGTGAACTCTTTTCACTGAGAATACTTTTTTCGGTAGCACTCCATCGCGATGCTAGTAGGTAGACACGAAGGGCTTCAACAAATCGAGCCTTTTCCCATTAATCCAGGGAAAGGTAGAAGCCGGTATCTCACTTAGTTATGCTTCCAGAAACGACAAGCATTCAGCAGAACGCTTCTGGAGGCTACGAAATATTCTGGTATTTACGTGATTATCATCAGATTCCTCAGAAGGAAAAGAAAAACGTACTCGATGGATACGAAGCCGTTGATGAACTATTCAAATACGGACGTGCAGTATGACTGCTGTTCTGAGGAAGAGGTTGAAAGGCTGAGAAATCACCAATTTGTCAAAAAGAAAGTTATTGATAAAATTCAGAGATGCACTCAGCAACGTACATGATTGATATGATATTGTGGATGAAAAGTTCGCAGCCGGAGGGTTTGGTTGAGTGCTGTTTTGAGGAGCAGAAGCTTAAAAATTGTATATTCAAAAAAAACTGGAAATTCAACTGCAAAACCCAGAGATTCGTACCCGGTGGGGCTGTTTGACTTCTATTTTGAGGAGGAGCTTGACTGCTATTCTGAGGAAGAGATTGAAGAGCTAGGAAAACTTGACCTCGGAAAGTCATGAAATAGCAGTCAACTTTAAAGCCATCCCGAACAACTTACTGGGATGATATGAAGTTGTTGATGGGCTTTTTGTACTCGAAAGAGCACTTCGATTGCTGGGTCCAGTGAGAGGTTGCAATGCTGAAAAATTGCCGCCATTTGACTGCTGTTTCAAGAAGAAGGCAGCAAAGCTGAGGAATTGGAAATTTTAAAAATGATAATCATCGATTAAATCCGGAGATGTATTGGAAACAACGTACATGTTTGGAACGGAACTGTTGATGAAATGTTCGTACCCGGAGAGGCTGTTTGACTGCGATTTTGAGGAGGAGCTTGACTGCTATTTTGAGGAGCAGGTTTAGAAGCTGCGAAAACTTGACTTTGAAAAGTAATGAAAAAAGTGGTTAAGTTCAAAGTCATCCCAAACAACCTACATGAATGATATGAAGCTGTTGATGGAGGCTTTGTACTCGAGGGAATGGTCTGATTGTTAGGCCCATTGAGAGGTTGCAAAGCTGAGGAATTACCATTTCTTTATAATAAGACGATAGCAATGAACTCAAAAGGTACGTATACCCTACAACCTACATGTTTGATTTAGAGCTATTGAAATAGCTGTTGAAGGGTTTGTCATCGAAGGGGCAGTTTGACTGCTGTTTTGAAGAACAGGTTGGAGAGCTGGAAAATTAAGACTTTGAAAGGTTACGGTTTAAAAAATGGCAATAAAATTTCAAGGCATTTTGAACAACCTACAGGAATGGTATGAAATTGCACAATAGTTGGACGAGTCAGAAAAAATGGGATTTCCCTTATAAGGTTGATATTGTGTAGTGGCTTTGTGGTCCGGGATGGCTTCTCAGCCCACCACAAGCTCAAGCCAACCGAACCTCTCACTCGTCAAAGTCTTTTAGTTGGTTTGAGACTTGTCGGGAAAAACGAAAACAGTGGCCTGTACGTTTTCTGGGTAGTTACTGTGTGGGCTACATCCTATTCAAAGAGTCAGCACGATTTTGAATAGAAGTCGGTTGCGAGGGGAATACAAAAACATGATTAATCAACGCCAAACGAAATTATCTATCCTTTATCGATCAAGTTGAAAAGGTGGCAAAGCCTAAAACTTGCAGTTTTTTTTCATAAGGAAATCAAATACAAGGGATAAAGAATAAAGTCTGTGGGCGTCGATGTTGATTAATCCCGCCTGAAGGTGCACCCCGCATTCGATTCCAATTGGGACCGGGGTGGCGTATTGTATGTGTAAGTCGCTTATACAATAGACTACAATTCCAAGGCAATATAAAGTCAAGGCTTTCACCCTATCCTCCCAGAAGAGTCTGGTACCAATCAAGCAATCCTGGAAGGATTGGCTGACCTTGGCGGATATCGTTCCGAGATTTAACCCCTTACCAAAGACCCTCCCGAAGATGCAACGATACATGAAAAAACCTACATGATTGATATAAAACTGTCGAAAATGATGAAAGGTTCGCTCCCGAAGAAGAGGCAAATTGATTATTTCGATGACTAGGTTGAAAAGCTGAAAGTCACTGCTCTGCCAGATTTGGAGTTGGGCGATAAAACATCAAGCTAACATCAACAGCAAGCAACGTACATGATTGATATGAAATTGTTGATGGACGAGTTGTACTCGAATCAGCAGTTTGATTGAAATTCCGAGTGAAAGCATGGAAATCAAAGAAACCATTAGTTTGCCATGTGGGGAAATCTGTGATAAACTGTAAAAGCACTTCTTCGATTTGAAATTGGTGGCGATGGAAGATCTCTGAATTGATAGAACTCACTCCGAATACTGTAAAAAGAGCGGCTATGAACAGTAGGATCCCGAATAGAGTGCGCTTCCGGGAACAGGATTGGGAAACGAAATTTTTACGAAATGGCATAACAACGCCTGCCTGAAATCGCCTGGATCGTATCGTCAGTACAATTCGTCTTATCAACAAATAGTGGCTGCAATGTGTGAGTCGTTGAGTAAACGAAAAATTTGTGAATCATCAGACGTCATCAGTTGCTTCTTGCAAGACCCCTTCATTCAAGCATTCACCCCTATAGTTACCATTTTCACATATTTCATCGTCTCTATCACTTGGAGGTATGACAGGAATTTGGGAAGACGGTAATTTTTGGAGTGGGCAAAATCAATTCAGCGATCATTCTTATCAAACTCCCCTTGTTGCTGATAAGAACTTCTGGTCTCATAAAGGGTCCGTAGTTCAATATCTGCAGTGATCATAGTAACTTCATTAGCTTAGGAATTAACTTCTCGCAGCTGTTTATTTCTAAACTATCAAATGATTCTAACTAATTATAGAATCATACGAAAACGAACCATCCGCCGGAGACTGAGTTTTGCTCGATTCTAACCCAGTCAATTTCGAACAGTAAATAGGAGAAAGCTTTATGGTGTTATGCTTCTAGAACTAGAATCGCTTTCTATTTCCATTCAGAATCTTATTGTTTAGTGGTTTTTGAATGCGTATGTGACCTATAAGGTGGTTTAAAGTGGCCGGTCGATGCGGTGCATTTTGAGCAGTACCCTGGATAGCAGCAGATTTTCCTAATGCAAGCACACAAAAGGATGAATCCGAAATTTGGACGAAACTAGCTGGGTAACCTCGAAACCAAGAGGTAATGTAGTGGCAAGTGCGCACTATCACACATACACATGATCACGGGAGTGTTATTCACCTTGGCCCAATGAGGTTTACATCCCTTCGGGGTGACTAGCAGATTCGTCTAGGAGGATAAAAGCACTGACTTGTACATTGGCTGACACCGCAAATCATTGTATAAGCCACACACGCATTCAATACGCCATTACGATTCTGAATGAAAATCGAATACGGTGGCGCATCCTTGAGACGGGATTGATGAACGCCAAAAAAGACTCCAAGACTTTAAGAGGAATCTTATTCAGAAAGGACACTGAGCGCAGCACGATAATTGAACTGCAACCCGCCATGATGATAATCATTTGAAGAATGGATAAAAAATAAAAAATAAAATCAACTTTATTAGATGGCGCGTATAGACTAGTTCCTTTATCTTTCTATATTTAGAGCGCTAATTATATATCTCACGCAGACGCGTTGAAGAGCGAGAAAAGTCACGTGAGCGCGGTGAGAAAAAAGGTATGAAATAGGAAGTCTACCGATACTGTTTGCCCTCTAGATAGAAGCGTTAACTTTGTGTGTTTGTTTGTATGTTGGTTTGGGCGTCTGCCCGGAAAAAGTCACGTAGGCACAATGAAGAGAGTGGAAGGTCACGTCAGCGCGGTGAGGAAGTTGTTTGAAATAGGATGTCCCCCGATACTGTTTATATTGATCCTCGAACAAACCTTAGGTAAGGTGTTGGGACATGTGATGCACGCATCT